TACCCAATCTACATGTATTTTGAATATGGAAGTGACAGCACTGACTGATGTATTGGCTCTAGGGTGTGAGAGAAAAAGGATTCAAGGAATGATTCTCACGGTTTGGCCTGAACAACTACAAGGATGGAGTAACTTCAGTAATTTGTAACAATCAGAGAGAAGCAGATTTGAGAGGGTGGGTCAGGAGCTAGTCTTGGGACATGCAATTTTAGAATACTTTTATCAATCGAAATGAAGGAAGGCAGGCAATTCAGTATATGGAACTGGAGTTCAGAGGCGAGGTCTGGACTAGAGCCATACATTTGGGAACTGTCAGCTTACAGATAATATTTAAAGCCGTGACACGGGAGCACTGAAGGAACATAGCTAGTAGCAATTGAAGATTAGAGGTCCTCAGAGCTGGAACACTTCAAATTTTAAAGGTTAGATGAGGAAGAAATAGCCATTTAGATAGAAAGAACGCCTTTCAAAAAGAATGCCTTTCTTTCTGTCAGACACTTGTGTGTCTTTGAAGCCAGGTGAATCAGGTGTGGTCAACTATGTCAGATGAGAATTGGATTAGAAATGTGGAAGTTATTGTAATATTACCAGTATTGACTTTGTAATAGCAATTTTGGAGCTATTGTGATGGCCAAAGGCTGATTGATTAGAGAATATTCAAGAAAGACTGTGAGAACAGTAATTTTGAGAGATTTTACTGTACAGGTTACAGATAATAATCACAGGAAACAGCTTTGTAGCATTTACTATGTGCCTGACAACCTTCTTAGGGCTTATATATATTAATCTCATTTAATCCTTAAAACAGCCCTGTGAAGTAAGAGTATTATCATCCTTACTCTCCAGATGAGGAAAATGAGACACAGAGAAGTTAACTAATTTAATCATATGATATCTGTTTCTGTTTTAAGGTTCTTCAAAAACCTTGTTTTTAACCTGCATATATTTGAGGACTTTTGGACATATTTGTTCGAATAATCAAATAATTTAAAAATATAATCCCTTGAAACAGAGAAAAGAATCTCTTCTGTACAATAGAGCTATATATATGATTTCATCTGTGTCACCCTAAAATATTCAGATCACACAGTGATTTTCCATATTCTGCTATGTGCTTTTTACTCATCAGGACCTGTCTAGACATAGCTTTTTTTTTTCTTTGCCCTTTTTGATTCTTCTGTATCTTTATGAAAGTATCAGTAGGTCATTACTTGTATTCACTTTCATTGAATAATTTGAGAGCACATAACACTGTTAGACCTATATAGGGCACACAGAAATATTTTTTTAATTATTAATGAGTGTGTATTATGGCTAACTTTATACCTAACTACATGAAAAATATACAAACATAATAATTTTAAACTAATGATATATATAGGGGAAAATCATAAAGCTAAAAGGTAAAAGTGAAAACAATTTCAACATATATTACAGAAAGTTTTTTAGTATTCATATTTTATAAAGAGTCCCCAAAATAGAGTAATTTTTTAAAACATATAAGTAGAAATACAGGAAAAACAGAGATGAGCATGTTGAAGTATAACTTGGTATATAACCCCTTTGGAGTGCAAATACTGATATGAATATAATATTTGACCACTTCCATTTCTCAGACTCCACCCTTTTTATAGAGGTGTTTTAAATAATGTGTTCAAGGATTTTTATTACAGCATTGTTTGTAATATTAAAAATTTAGAAATCTCTAAATGAGTCAACAGAAATGGTTAAGAAATTGTGATAAATCCATATTTTGGAATAATATGCAGCAGTTAAAACTGATGAGTTAGAGGTATATATATTGATATGAAAAGATATCTACAAAATGCTAAGTGCAAAAGAAAAATTACGCAATAATATTTCCCAGTTTTTGTTGATTAAAGAAATTGTGTGGTTATAAATACTACATATTTATATTTTGTATATATAAACAAAGATCTAGAAAAATATACAGTGGTCCCCCCTTATCTATGGTTTCTGTTTCTGCAGTTTGTTACCTGAGCTCAACTGTGGTCTGAAGATACTAAATGGAAAATTTTAGTGGCTTTGTGTTATTATTGTATTCTTACCATGTGACTGCAGAGAGACTAGAATGGTTAAGTGGTCCCAGCGACTTAGTGGAGAGTAGAACTGTGGTCTCCACCAGAAAGGAGGGGAGGGCACACTGCAGGGCAGAGTGAATGGACAGTTGAGGCATGGGTAGAGAATATTAGAATATCTGTTCACAGTCCTCCGAAATCTCATCCTGTTTACATTGCTGCTTTTTAACATGTTGTAAAATAAAGCGCATACGCCTGTGTGTATATCTTAGTGAACATCTTTGTAAATACTACGCAGGTCAGCAGTAGGCTTTAGCCAGCCATTCCAGAAACGCTTTTTATATACTGTACCAATCATAGCCCCTTCCTACATTGTTCTTCTGTGGTTTTATCACACAGTGTGCCTTCCTGGATACTAAAATTTGGTCTTGCTTTTTGTTTGTTTGTTTTAATTGAATAACTTTAAATGTCTTTTAATCCCTTCTTCCCTTACCATTCCTTAGAATTTTCTTGTTAAAGAACTGCACCATTTCACCTGTAGTTTCACATAGTCTGGACTTTGCTGATTACATATTCATGGTACAATTCAGTACATTCTACTGGGCTAATGAAGTTTTCACAGAGAAGGTGGACTTGATCTAGACTTTGGTTAGGTTTGATTTGATTCATCAGAGAGACGTGAAGAGTTGAGAACAGCATTAATTAAAACATGTAATTATGGGTACACAAAACACGTGGAATGGCCTGATGGGAAGCAGGTTTTTACTAATTATAAAGGGGGAAATGAAATGGGACGGGGTGGTCATTTCAGTGCCAAGCTAAACAGCAGAGATATTTTCCTACAGATAATAGAGATCCATTCATTTCACAAATGGGTAGGCCTTTCTACATCTAAAAACCTGAAAGGGCGCAAAACAAAGGCCCTGCACTTTGCTACTTAGGTTCTAGTGAAGAAGAGAAAAAAATAAACAGATTAAACAAGTCAGTGTATAGCATTATATTAGATAGTAATAAGTCATAAGAAAAGCATAAAATAAGGTGGTCAGCGTTCGTTTTTCTATACACTGGAATTAATAGCATTTGTATCCATAAAGGACGTAATACTTATTTTCTTGGTTCTCTTGCCCAACTCTGGCAGTACCTTGGGAACTGATACCTCAGTCTAGATAACTATGATTTGAGAATTTGATAGCTATATAGATAGCTATAATTTGAGAATTTGAATTCCTAGATATCCCTGCAGTGTTTCTTAACGTTTTTCTGCCAACATAGCAGCCTGACTGCTTTACGTATTTATTGAGTTTTTCATATCTCTTTAATGGCATTCGTTCTTCTCAAGTGCTTGGTGGCCCTTGGTCGTATACTCCTTTCGTATTTGTGATTGCTACTTCACTTGGTCACGCGTGATGTTTGTCCTCACTGTGGCCTGTTTTAGGTGCTGGAGGAGGGAAGGAAGGAACTGCCGGGTAGAATGTGCCTATAGTTTGCTTTTTCAGTTTGGGGTTCTCCATGCCTTTTGGGGATCATTCTATTCCTGTCCCCAGTATCCGCACTTGCTCCACACTTGTAGACAGGCTGCACACACTTCTGTGTCCTGTAGCTCAGTCTAGATTGTAGGGTTGATAGGAGCTAATTATCTTCCTGCTCCTACCTGATCATCCTGACGGGAATTTGAGGCTTCCCCTTGGGCTGCGGTTTTCTGGAATTATTTTCTCTCCATAAATCTGATCTTATCCACTTTGTCTTCACAGACTCCTCAAAATGTCTGGCCCACTGATTACATACCTTTCAGTGTTATGGATTGTTTTCAAGTGTTAGGGATTTTTTCTGTTTTCATATATCTTCTCTGATGTTTTATGAGATTGGGAGCAGAAGGAATAAGCAGAGCGTATATTAAGTCGCCGTCTGTGAGGCTGGACCTGCCATCTTGCTTCACACTTCTGATTGACGTCCTTTAAACAGTGATTTAAGACTCTGATAATAGTGTGCAGTGGTGCTGGTTATTGCAAAAGAAAAGGAGCAGCCAGACGAATTAACGTACACTGCTGTGTTTGGCCACTTACTACACGTTAGCTTACCTAACAGGCTAATTTAGTGATATTTCATTTAATTAGAAATTATTGAAACTACACTTTAAAGGTTTCTTCCTAGGGAGACAATTACAAAATCTTGATTATATTTTCATTAATTAGTTCTATCTTCTGATCACATAAATGCTAGGGATAAAAGCATTATTGCTATATTAGTTTGCCTGGAGTATATTTCAAGTCAAGAAGCAGAGCTATTTCAAGACTGATTAGCAGCTGAGAAAAGTTTTAATTCCACTCATTCTCTTAATAGTGCAGGTCAGCTGTTCACGTTGGATCAGTCAGCATGAGAACTCACCCATCAAAGCACAATTCAAATTTCCTTCTCAGGAGCCTTCCAAACTCTCCAGCAATTGTCCCCACTCTATACTCCCATAATGTTTTTGTTGTATTATGTCTGTTACAGGACTTCTCATTATATTGGAAATATTATTTTATTACAGGTTGCCCTTCACCAAACTCTGAACTCCAGGTTTTCTTCACTTTTGCAATCCTACCACCATATTTACACAGTAATTGGACCTTAATAGTTTTAGAAATGGAAAGATGGGTACTAACTTGTCATTCTATAAGATGAGAAGGTCTTTGATTTTCTATATCAAAGAGTCAGTCCCATTTATAAACTGTGGGAAATCCTGAAATCATTTTTGCTTTAGATTAATAAATTTTAATAATGCAACATTTAAGTTTGATTTGAAGTATGTCCTTTATTTTTATGATGTAACAGTTACCATATGGATTTGTAAATATTCAGTTAACTGTTGCCTTTGATGAAATGTCACACTGTGTAAAAAAAACTAATCATATTTTTAAAATATAACTTTAACAGTTTATTTTAGATTTGCCATTTTCTTTTTTTTGTTGTTTTTTGAAGGATCAAAGTAACAATGAAATTATGATTGGAGTGATGTCAGGAGGAATTCTGATTTATAAGAACAAAGTACGAATGAATACCTTTCCATGGTAAGAACTTCCATCAGTACTTTTGCTTTTACCATTATATTACCAAATACAATTCATATTAAAGAAAGTGGTTGTTGAGCTATTTAATGTTGTCATACAACTTTGTCCCACTTACTTGGAATCTACCAGAAGATACCTATTAAAATAATTGAATTATTTGTTTCCGAGGTGTCTTAGTTTAAAGAAAATACTACTTTGCGAATTTTTCTCTTAGTCTCTAAATCTGTACTGTAGTGTAATAGCTAATATTGTCATATTTACTCTGCGTCTCACGCTGTGCCAGTTGTTTTGAATACAGTACTTCACTTAAATGCATTCAGTGGGTGCTAGTTTATTAGTTGGAACATGGGCATGGTTGCTGCAACAAAGGCCCCTTATTACAGTGGTTTAAATTGGTACTGGGAAAGTATGGTGGCTCCATGGGGTTTAAAACTCATGTTTCTTTTGTGTTATTGCTCTGCTGTCCTTAGCATGCTGTGCTTATCCTCGTCGCCCAGTGCCTCACTCACCGTCACTCCTATATCCCAAAGTGAGGAAGAAGGAGAGGTAGCATCTGCCATTTCCCTTTAAGGGGATAACTTGAAAATTGTAAAAATCATATTGATCACATATCCCTTGTGTGAATATCATATAAGTAACTCGGGCTTTTAAAAATAAACACAATGATTTTCTCTAGGGGAAGAAGCAAATACAAAAGAAATATATTGTATCAATCTGTTTCTCTTTATATCTCCTAAAAGAATTGGTCCAGATTTTTCAATATCTCTGATTATTATTTAATAGGTTTTTGTAATTAGTCACTTATATAACACTAATAGAAATATGATAACTGACAGAAGCTATTATTTTAGAAAATTGCCACAATTACGTTGAGAAAATAAACATAAATTTCCCCAATAGGTCACTATCTAGGAAAACATGAAATACAAAATATAAAATTGATGAAATGAACTTCATCAAAATTAGATATTTTTGCTCTCCAGAAGACACTGTAAAGAAAATGAAAAGGCAAAAAACAGTCTTTTATAAAATACATATTTGATAAAGGACTTATCAAAAGAATGTAACGGACTCTTATAGCTCAGTAATAAGACAACTTGATTAAAAAGAATAGGCAAAATATGTGAATAGATACTTCCCCCAAAGGAGATATACAGATGGCAAATAAGTACACAAAAAGATGCTCAGTCATTAGTGAAACGCAGATTAAAACCGCAGTGAACTATTACTGTTCACTCACTACAATAGTTCCAATTAAAAAGAATGATAATACCAAGTAATGGCAAGGAAGCAAAGCACCTAGAAATCTCATATATTGCTGGTGGGAATGCAAACTAGTAGACCAACTTTGGAAAACAGTTTGGTGTTTCTTCAAGGTTAAACATAGATTTACCATATAATCTGGCAATTCTATTCCTAGATATTTACCCAAGAGAACTGAAAATACAAGTTCGTATAAAGATTTGCACACTGTGTTCATAGCTGTATTATTCATAACAGCACAAAACAGAATTCCAGATGTCCATCAGTTGGTGAAAGGACAAGCAGATTACACTTGCATTGGAATACTGTTTAGCAGTGAAAGAAATGAACTGTTTTACACACTAAACAATATGGGTGACCCTCCCCTCAAAACATTATGCTAAGTGTAAGAAGCCTGACACAAAAGATGACGTACTCTTTGTTTCTATTTATATGAAATTCCTGAGAACACACAGTATAAAGACAGCAGACCCTTGGTTGCCATTGGAACATTTTCAGGTGATGGAAATTGTTACATGGTGGTTTGGGTGGGTGGTAGTTACACAGCTGAATACATTTGTCAAAACTCATTGATTTGTTTGCCTAAAATTGGGATATTTCATTTTATATATAAATTATACCTCTATAAAGCTCATAAAGAAAATCAAAGGTCATTTAGTGTTTCATCTCACATCTTTTAAGTTCTTCCTGTATAATTCAAATTGTGTTATGTTCAGAGGAGAATACAAAACAGTTCAAGACATAGTCCTTGCCTAAAAGTGGGCACATAAAAATTAATTACAAAACATAATAAGACAATTTGTAACTTAAATGCTTCAGAAGAGATAGTTACAATTGTTGACTTTCATAATGGTAAATGTGCATCTTCAATTTTAATACTTTTCTGATTTTACTAAAGACAGTTAAAAATACTTTTCATTAATTTTACATTTTCTATGAATGTCAAAATCAGAAATAAATTCTTTTCAGGTGATGTGGTTAAAATGATAATCTAAATTTTTCTGTATTTTCAAAATTATACAATAAGGATTCTAGAAGAGTTTTTGACAAATTACTTTGGAAACACCAAGGATATAATTTCACTAGGGAAAATTGTAATGGCCCTATGGTATTTGAGATGGTTTTTAAAGGATGAATAGAAATTTCTTCAGTGAGGAGGAAGTATGGAAGAGGTATGTGTGTATAGAGGGTTCAGTCAGGGAATTCAGGGTAAAGGTACCAAACATTTGCAGGAGCCTAATAGTAAGAAAGGACGTGGCAAGTTGAGGAGATGATGGGATATTTGGTTTGATTTTTTTTTTTCAGTTGTCTTCACTGAGGACAGAAGCAAGGGCACAAGAATTTAAGATATAATAATGTTGCTTAGGAGAGAAATTAGATTCAGATTGTGAAGGATCTTATATATTCCATATGCTGAGGAGTTGGTATATTATTTTATTATTAAATATTCTTGAAGGTAGTTTCATGTTGAGAAATAGAACTCATGTTTATAAGTCTTTATCACACAAGTTAGGTTAAAAAGAAGAATGTGAGCATTTAAGATATTGATTGGAAAATACTATATAGTATTCCTTTAAATTTTTATTTTCCAGAATTAAACTAAATAGATGGGATTTAAAGTTGTTAAAGCTACTAGACCTACATCATCCTGGAACATAAGGATTTCTTCTGATCCTAACTACTCATAGCAGTACATACTACAACATTAAGAGTACATTTATACATATACCACAAATTGCCATGATTTAAGATCCAATATCAATTGATTTCCAAAGAAAATCAATCATTAAGTTGTGTGAAAATCATCAAATACATGGTTTACTTTTAGTTCTTAAAGTATGGATCTATTTTCACAAAAGCAACATACTTCTTATTAATACTACATGTGAATAAGGAACCATTCAGCCTCAACATCTTTATTCAAATTAGTGTTCGTAGAATTGCCATTGCCCTTAAATTGATATTTTAGCAAAGTATTGTGGAAGTCTCCTTGAGGAAATGATAAAAATCACTTGATAAAAATGGAGTATGATTACAGCTCGGAATTACCAAATTTCTACATGAATGAAGAGTTTTGAGTAAAGGTGGAAGTTTTAGAGCTGATAGTTTTATAAGATTAATAAGGTAGGAAAAAAATCACTTGTGGATTTTAATGCATTTTATCTGTACCTTATAACCCTGCAACTTGGGTGTTGTTAGCATTGTTTTTATGGATAAGGAGTGAGAAATGCCAGAGAAGCTGACTGGGCCAGTGTTAACAAGTATGATGAGTATGAAGCAGAGCTTTAAATAAACCTGGGTCTTTCAGTTTCTGAAACACTAGCTTCTCACTTACCTCTTCTCTCAAAATTAGAGCTATGTGTAGAAAAAGTAGTGTTCCATGTAATAGATTCCCTCATTTCTTTCCACATATGGTTATCCCTAAATTATCCAGTTCAAGTTCATACTTTTAAACTGTTGAATACTGAATTGGGAGTTACTTGGATTCTATAATTAGACTTCATTAAAATTAATGCTCATCAAAAAACATCATTAGTAAAATGAAAAGGGATGGAGAGAGTTCTGGTTCCCAGTCCAGCAGGTAAAGACTTTGGAAGTTGTCACCCCTGTCCTCACAAGAAAAAAAAAAAAAACTGAAAAAACTCAAAATCAGCAACTCTTTTTAGATCCCTCAGAGAATTGAGGACACAGGGCATACTTACTGCAGCTCTGAAAACTGGAGAGACAGGTGAATACAAGGCATGACAACTTACCAGGACTAGAAACCACCGCTGCAGCCACCCCTGGTAGGAGTACATGCAGGGTGATTGACAGATTGCTGGAGATGGAGCAGAGACTAGCTTGGACTAAGTTACTTAGGAAGGACCCCTCGTTCTCATGAGTTTTACTACCAGGCACCCCACCAGGATCTCAGGGCGAAGATTGGAGAAAAATCCGCTTGTGTTCGAAGGGCAGGGGATGGAAGTTGAGCAGGAAAGTAACCGTTTTGAAATACGCTCAGAGCTTTCTGCTCTCCTTAACAAAGATCTGCCCTCAAGGAAATCTGTTTTACCAATACTTAACCAACATGTGTTTTACCAGAGCCTAACCAAGGTGGGGGAAGGGAAGTACCCATTTCCAGCCCTCTCTGTACTTCCTGTTGCAGCTAGGGAGGGGTGAGCTGACGGGCACCGAAGGGTGCAGCCAAGGGGCTCAGACCACTAAACCCGAGACCTAATCACAGGATTAAAGACGAGTTCCTCCCCAGCCCCAGACTTAACTGACACATCACCAGGGCTCCTGTATAATAACAAAGCGTCACAACTTAAGCCACTGCAAAGCTCAGGCTAATTAAGGACTGTCTTGGGAAACCCAAAGACAACAGGAGAGACAGAAACCAGGATAGTAGAGCAAATAGCGTCAAGTGCCTGCCTCAGAGACTGTTCCTTTGGAACAGTCACAATTTGATTGAATTCGTTCCTGAAGCAATTCATGGCCCAGGGCGCTGCTGAAAATAATAGAGCAGTGTGTTGGCAATTAGAGGAGTTCTCAGCTGGGTGTGGTTTTTGAGAGAATGGGATGATTAGTACCCCTGGTCATCTCAGTATTCCTGTGGGCACACCCAGAGCTGTGCTTTCCTGAAGAGCAACAGCAGAAGCCTAAACTGGAGGTTGAGGGTGAAGATAGAGTCCATGTACGTAAACTACCAAATAACAGGAAGCTGGGAAGATGGGAAGCAAATACTTACACTCACTGCGATGCAATATGTAAAACATCTGGTTGCCGGCAAAATATTACAAGACACACACAGATAAAGGAAAGTATGACCCATACACCTGATAACGGACAAGCAACAGTTGTAAGTATACATGTGCATAGTAACACAGTTTCAAAATACATGAAGGAAAAAATAAGGAAAAATAGACAATTCTACCATCGTAGTCGGAGATTTGAGCATATCCCTCTCAGAACTCAATACAAAAACTAGACAATAAAAAATCAGTTGAAATAGTTGCAAGCACTATCAAATCTCGTGGCTTAATTGATATACAATACTGAAACTGTGCGACTCAGATTGCACTTGAACCCATGGGCGGGGACTCAAACCCAGCCAGAACCCACTGTCTTTTAATTGAGATCACACACATGGTCTCAGGACTTACTGAAGCTCAGGTTCTTTATGTCTAATCACAGAAGGAATTCAGTGAGAGACAAAGTGATAGGTAAGAAGTGGATTTATTTAGAGAGAAACACACTCCACAGGCAGAGGGTGGGCCATCTCAGAAGGCAAGAGGCCCCAAAACATGGTGTGGTTAGTTTTTATGGGCTGCGTAATTTCATAGGCTAATGAGTGGGGATTATTCCAGCTATTTCGGGGGAAGGGGCAGAGATTTCCAGGAATTGGGCCACCACCCACTTTTGGCCTTTTATGGTTGGCCTCAGAACTGTCATGGCGCCTGTGGGAGTGTCATTTAGCTAATGCATTACAATGAGCATATAATGAGGCTCAAGGTCTACTGGAAGTCGAATCTTCCGCCATCTTGGATCTAGTTGGCTCTTACCAGTTTCTGTCATATCCTATGGCTATGTCATTCTTTCAAAGGTTGTGCCCTGCTCCCCTTCCCTCCTGTTTCAATACTATGCCTAGTAACAGCAAAATACACATTCCTTTCAAGGGTACATGGTTTGTTTACTAGGAGAGAAAATATGTTGAGCCATAAAACAAGTTTCAATAAATTTTTTATTGAGTTATAATTAATATAACATTATATTAGGTTCAGGTGTACAGCATAGTGATTAAATATTTCTATACCTTATGAAACAGTCAGCACAGTAAGTCCAGTTATCATCCGTCACCATATAAAATTATTATAGTATTATTGACTATATTCCCTCTATATACATTACATCCCCATGACTTATTTTATAACTGGAAGTTTGTATTCTTAATCCATTTCACATTTTTGTCTTTACCTGCACCCTTTTCTCTCCTCTGGCAACCACTCGTTTGTTCTCTGTATCTGAGTCTCTTTTTGTTTTATTTTTTAGATTCCACGTATAAATGAAATCATAAGGTATTTGTTTTTCTCTTTCTAGTTATTTCACTTTCATAATACCCTCGAGGTCCATCCATGTTGCCATAGTTGGCAAGATTTTATTCTTTTTTATGGCTGAGTAATATTCACACACACACACACACACACACACACACACACACACACACACACACATACAAACACATCACATCTTCTTTATCCATTCATTATTGATGGACACTTAGGTTGTTTCCGTATCTTGGCTGTTATAAATAGTGCTGCAGTGAACACAGGGGTGCATAAATCTTTTTGATTTAGTGTTTTCATTTTCTTTGGATACGTACCCAGAGGTGGAACTGCTGGATCGTATGGTAGTTCTATTTTTAGATTTTTGAGGACCCTCCATACTGTCTTCCATGGTGGCTGCACATATTTACATTCCCACCAACAGTGCACAAAGATTCCCTTTTCTCCACATCCTTGTCAACAGTTGTTGTTTCTTGTCTTTTTGATAATAGCCATTCTGACAGGTGTGAGGTGGTATCTCATTGTAGTTTTGATTTGCATTTCTCTGATAATTAATGATGTTGAACACCTTTTAATGTCCCTGTTGGCCATGTGTATGTCTTTGTAAAAAATGTCTATTCAGGTCTTCTGCCCATTTTTTAATCAAATTTGTTTTTTGATACTGAGTTGTATAAAAAAGTTCTTTATATACTTGGATATCAACCCCTTATTGGATATATCATTTGCAAGTATCTTCTCTCACTTGGTAGGCTACCTTTTTGTTTTGTTGGTTTGCTTCACTGTGGAGAATCTTTTAATTTGATGTAGTCCCATTGTTTATTTTTGCTTTTGCTGCCCTTACCTGAGGAGACATAACCAAAAAATATTGCTAAGACTAATGTAAAAGAGGTTACTGTCTGTGTTTTCTTCTTGAAGTTTTATGATTTCAGGTATTACATTTAAGTCTTTAATCCATTTTGAATTTATTTTGTATATGGTGTGAGAAAGTTGTCCAGTTTTCATTTTTCTGCATGTAGCATCCAGTTTTCCCAACACCATTTATTGAAGAGACTGTCTTTTCTCCATTGTATATTCTTGTCTTCTTGTCATAGATTAATTGACCATGTGAGCATAGGTTTATTTCTGGGCTGTCTATTCTCTTCCACTGATTTATGTGTCTGTTTCTATGCCAGTACCAGACTGTTTTGGTTACTGTAGCTTTGTACTATAGTTTGATGTCAGGAAGCAGGATTCCTCCAGCTCTGTTATTTCTCAAGATTGTTTAATTATCCGGGATCTTTTGTGTTTCCAAACAAGTTTTTTTTTTAACTTTTCATTTTATTTTGGAGTGTAGGTGATTAGCAATGTTGTGATAGTTTCAGCTGTACAGCAAAGTGATTCAGTTATACATATACATGTATCTCTTCCATGCAAATTTTGAAATTATTTGTTCTAGTTCTGTGAAAAATGCCATTGGTATTTTGATAGGGATTGCATTGAATATATAGATTGCCTTGGGTAGTATGGTCATTTTAACAATATTAATTCTTCCAATCCGAGAATACAGTGTATCTTTGCATCTGTTTGTGTCCTCTTCAGTTTCTTTCATCAGTGTCTTATAGTTTTCCAGGTTTTACATCCTTAGGTAGATTTATTCCCAGGTATTTTATTCTTTTCAATGTGATAGTCAATGGGATTGTTTCCTTAATTTCTCTTTCTGATAGCTCGTTGTTAGTGTATAGAAGTGGAACAGGTTTCTGCATATTCATTTTTTATTTTGGGGTCCTTTTTTATGATTTTCATTTCTGTGTTTACATTGCCCATCTGTTCTTTGTTCTTGCTTTCTACTTTATCCTTTGGAGCTCTTAGCCTGTTAATCGTAGTTGTTTTAAACTCCCAGTCTGATAAGTCCCACATTCCTCTCATATCTGGTTCTGATGCTTACTCTGTCTTTACATTGTGGTTTTTGCCTTTTGGTATGCCTTGTAATCTTTTCTTGATGGGCAGATAGGATACCCTGGTAACAGGAACGCTGTAAATAGGCTCTTAGTAATGTGGTGGTGAGGTGTCGACAGAAGGGGGTTTTCTGTAGTCCTGTGATTAGCTCTCAGTGTTTTAATGAGCCCAGGCCTCTAGACTGTGAGCTTCACAGTGTTTCTCATTTTTTTTTCTCCCCTTGGGTGGGACAGGTTGGCTAGAGTGGGCTGGACTTGGGTATTTTCCTCCCCCAGGTCAGGCTCTGGTTAACAAGATTCCCCTAAAGGTAGGCCTTGTTAAGAGCAGAGTGCTCTGGCCTAGTTCAGCATGGTTTCTTTCCCTTTCCCTGTCGGAAATCTGAGGGTACTTTTCTTTGGTATTTATTTTCGGAATCTGTTTGAGCTTCTAGAGCTATATCTCACAATACCGTGAGGTCCGCCCTATGACTGGGGCCTCTTGGGGTTTTTAACTCTCAGGGTTGACCACGCTGAGCCTTCCACAACTCATAAAATACAGTTCAGATTTTCCTACCCTGGCACTGCTTCCTCTGGCAGTTTCTGCTCCTGAATCTTCTCTGGGAAGCTCTGATTCCCTGTACTCAGCTGTTGGTCTCTCAAATCTTGGGGGTAGCCGTTTGCCCTGTGCTCTTCCCTTCCTTGTGTATTTAAGAAGAGTTGTGGATTTTTCAATCTGTTGAGCTTTTTACTTGTTGCCAGGATGGATTGGTGATTTCCAAGCTCTTAACGTGCAGAAAACTACTTGCAGTTTTAGAGAGTAAATGACTATATTATTGGTATTCTTAAAATTTTAACTTGTGATATGTGTTTTTATGTATTTCTTTAGACACAAAATTGGGAAATGTATAGTTTACAGCAAAATGTTCTGATAAAACTAAGCTCAGTTGAGCATATAAATTCTAATTATTTTTTCACGAAGCACCAAAAACTTTAATAGATTCTTTATGTACTTTATATATGTATATATAATTAAATATTTAGACATTACTAAACATACAGTTAAAAGATTATTTTTTAATTTTTTAGATTAATATTTTTATCTTTGTTCAATATTTTAAATACTCCAATTCATTCTCTTTTTATCCAGGTTGAAGATTGTAAAACTTTCTTTTAAGTGCAAACAGTTTTTTATTCAACTGAGAAAAGAATTGGTGAGTTGATCTTATTAACATAACTTAAGTCCTTTAAGAAATAAGTCGTCATTCATTACAGAACTTTTAGTGCAAGTAAATGTGTTAATACTGTTAATAACTGCCTACTCAGTTAAGTAATTCACATTTTATGACAAAGTATATCCCTAGTGTTTCTGTGGTTCTGATCAGAAGTTATTCTAGATATCTGTTCTGCTATCTCTTGAACTTAGAAACTGGTCTCAATTGTGATGTTCATTGTCGTCCCCAGGGTCCATTCATGAGGTCAGTAACTGAGCATTTATATGTCCTTTTTCTTTCTTTCTTTCTTTTTTTAAACTAAATCTACAGCACTTCCTTTCACATAGGAGTACATTTCATTTGGGGGATTCTGAGCGTTTAGTTTTATTCCTAGTTAATGAACGTGTAGTACATTTCCTCCCTTTGTTGGACTGATGTCCTTTTTGTGTATTAAATACAACACATTATCACAGAAAGTACAGTGTTGGAAAGAATTTCATCTTATAAATGATTTTATCTATTTCATCAAATTAAATTAACCTTATCCTTTGACTGACATTACTAGAAGTCTTGACAAATTAATGCACATTTCGGGATGTGTATATGTGTATATGTGTATAAAATGTATTCAGGGACTTCCCTGGCGGTCCAGTGGTTAAGACTTCGCCTTCCAGTGCAGGGAATGCGGGGTCGATCCCTGGTCGGGGAGCTAAGATCCCACATGCCTCGAGGCCAAAAAACCAAAACATAAAGTAGAAGCAATATTATAACAAGTTCAATAAAGACTTAAAAAAAAATGGTCCACATCAAAAATACATAATAAATAAATAATAAAATAAAATGTATTCAAAGCCTTAAAATATATTTGAATCAAATGTATTTTATAGAGGCTATTGATCTACTGACTATGATTCATCATTATACTCACAAAACATAGACGTTTTATTTCAAGAGAGTTTTTATTGAAATAAAACCAACAGAAATTAAGTATAGTGCTTGATAAGTATATAATATACAATGTTATTATGTAGAACATTACTACCACCCTGGCAGCTGGTATTATTACTAATGGAGTTGACGCCCACTAGCAGTCATTAACTCTCCCAAAAGGTAAATATTATTCTCATTTGTATCATCGTGGATTAGTTTGCTTAGTTTTGAATTTTAAAATCTAAAATCATACAGAACGTTTTCATTTTTATCTGCCTTCTTTCCCTTAACATTGTGAGATTCATTCGTGTTGTTACACCTAGCGATAGTTTGCTCCCTTGCTGTGGAATTCTACTGAATGAATATACCATACATTAGTTATTCATTCTTACTATGTTAGTGGACAGTTTTGCCATTTCCACGTTGTGACTATTATGATTAATGCTGTTAATGAACATTCTTGTACATGTTTCAATAAATGTTTAGAGGAATAAAATATAATAAATCATATCTGGAAACTAGAGAACAAACATTTTACTTTGATAATTATATTGGTAGGAGGCGGTGTTTAAGTCAACTTTTCCAATTTGCTCCCCATTATAGTGCTATTGTTGTTAGTAATACTAATAATATAGTATCTAACATTTCTTAAAGTCTTACTGTGTGCCTGGTAACGTATCAACCGTTTTCATATCATTTAATCCTCACAACCATTCTCTGAGGGAGTGTTAATGCATACAAAGCAACTGTTACACAGAATTAAGAATTCTCTGGTGATCAAGAAGTGATATTTTAAGCATATCATCTTCTAATATCACAGCTTAATATTTATACATGGGCATTTTACTGTATTTTAGTCATAGAAGGTATCTTCATGACCTTTTGATAGGCAAAGATTGCTTTAATAGGACATAGAAGGGAAACTAACATTAAAGGAGAAGATCAGTAACTAGAACTGGTTAAAATTAAGAACTATGTTCGTCAAAAGACATGATTAAGAAAGTCAAATAGCACAGAATATGTGTATGATACACACACACCATCTATGTCCTTGGTTGTGTATCCAGCCCAACCCAGAAGTACGCTAGTGACTTGAACAGACACTCCAGAACTGAGAATATCCCCATGGCCAGTAACATGAAAAGCTGTTGAACCTCAATTAAGCATCAGAGAAATACAGATTATAACCAAAATGTGATAATTTCACGCAACCACCAGAATAGTGGAGCAAAAAGATGGGGAGCCAGTGACCGGGGAGTGTGAAGAGCATGCGCTGCTGGTAGAGGGGGTGCCTGTCAGGCTGATCATTTTGGCAACGGCTGGGCGGCACCGACCAGAGGTGAGCGCATGGCATCTGTGGCCCAGCAACAGAAATTCGCACCTACGCGCATCTGACAAAATACAGGAATACACACAGGAACAACATTTTCACATCACCAAACTAGAAACATTAAATGTCTGTCAACGGTAAACAGGTTAATAAACTGTGGTCTGTTCACATGAGAGCATAGTGTGTAGAATGAAGTGAGTCAATTACTGCTTCACAATTACATGGAGGAATATAGAAACATAATATTGAACAAAAGAAGTCAGACCTAAAGACATACATGTATGAGTCCGTGTATGTAAAGTTGAGAAACAAGCATGATAACCTGTGGGCATAAAAGTCAGAAGGTGGGCACACGTGTASAGGTTATGTGGTATTAACCTGTGGGCATAAAAGGCAGAAGGTGGGCACGTGTAGAGGTTATGTGGTATTAACCTGTGGGCATAAAAGGCAGAAGGTGGGCACGTGTAGAGGTTATGTGGTAGAGACGGGAAGACAAGGCGCTCGGAGGCGCTGCTTAACGGTCCATTTCTGGACCTGGTTGCAGTCACTGTGTGAAAATCATAGCTGTACACCTATGACATGTATGCCTTGCTATAGATAGTTCAGTGAAACCATTTATTTAAATAGCAATTTGTGCCAAATTTTTAAAGAAAAATTAAAGAAATGCTTCTGTTGCTGCTTATTTTAACTTTTTAATTAATTAATTAATTTTTGGCTGTGTTGGGTCTTTGTTGCTGCGCGTGGGCTTTTTCTCTAGTTGCAGCAAGCGGGGGCTTCTCTTCCCTGCGGTACATGGGCTTCTCATTGCGGTGGCCTCTTGTTGCAGAGCACGGGCTCTAGGCACGTGGGCTTCAGTAAATGTGGCACGCGGGCTCAGTAGTTGTGGCTTGCAGGCTCTAGAGCGCAGGTTCAGTAGTTGTGGCGCACGGGTTTAGTTGCTCCACGGCATGTGGGATCTTCCCGGACCAGGGCTCAAACCCGTGTCCCCTTCATTGGCAGGCTGATTCTTAACCACTGCGCTACCAGGGAAGTCCCTGTTGCTACTTATTTTAAAATAAGAATTTCAAAAAAGTGTTCAGAAGTGCTGAATGTTTTTATTTACTTATTTACAATCTAGACAGATTTATAAGTTTAGAGATATTGTTGAAAGGTCTCTTGATGTATCTTAAAGTTTAATTTGTGGGCCAGGATTGTATTTTGAAATAATTATAGCTACTAAGTTTTGAAAATAGATACATATCAAGTTTTAAATTTGTTTCTAACTGTGTTCTAAAATAACAGTTCCTATGAGTTGTAATATTACCAAATGAGGTCCACATTTTGCAAACCTTTCCATTAATTTTACTGCTTTTTTATGGGATAAGCAAAAAAGACACAGGAAGGGTTAGTGTTTGTAAAGGTAGAGTATTTACCTGTAAAAAATAAATTAAATGGAACATTAGATCCTGACATTCTCATGATATTCTCTGCATTTTGTCATTTATTACAGCATGAATCTAGAGAAACATTATTGGGATTTAACATGGTGAATTACAGAGCATGTAAAAACTTGTGGAAAGCATGTGTAGAACATCACACATTCTTCCGTCTGGACAGACCACTTCCACCTCAAAAGAATTTTTTTGCACATTATTTTACATTAGGTTCAAAATTCCGGTATTGGTAAGTATTGCTTATGCTTTGATACTTCAGTGTTGGATTTTTTCCTCCTTTTAAAGAAAAGTCTAGTTTACTGAACCATAGAATCTGTTACTCATGCGCGCCTACTAAGTCAAAGTCTTCGCGGGGTTTGGCCGCTTTGTCTAATCAGCAGAAAGTTCTGTAGGTTCTCATTATAAAGCCAGACTTGAGAAACCTGTTCCATTACCTGTATTCCAGGTCGTTATTTCCTAAAGTAAATCAACTGTATTTAATTAGTTACAATCTACTCCTGCTATAATTTCCATTGTCTTTGTTAAATATTTGTAAGATGACTTTCTCGTGAAGAAAATATTTAGATGTGGCCCAGAAAAGATTTGTATTGTAAACCTCAAGCATTTATAAATGCCCCATTTGTAATCAGAAAATAAAACACAACAGCATAAAGCGTCGTACAGGGTATACCATTAAAAACACATCCTCCTTCCAAATAAAAGTAGCCGCAAAATTCAGTATCAGCACTTAACTAGAATTAAGGAAATTGTAACCATAAAAAAGGCACAGCAGATTCGTAAGTGGCTTGATGTCATGATTGGCTCCCCTGTCACCATCCTAAAAGCAGTACTGGGAAAGTAAGGTGTTGGTACTTGTAAATTTAAAGGTAATTAGGTTTAGGGAATGAGTATGACATCGGTAGTGAGAGTCAAGGAAAAATCTAAAAGTCTTATCTATTGGTACTAAATCTTAGCAGGTACAGAAGAAATCTCCAGTGAGAGAACAGTGCAGACCATACTGGTATTCCTTCAATAAATTTAATTCCTTACCTAAATGACCACCGGGGTTGTTATACAAGAACTATACTTAACTTTAGCAGAACTGTTTCTTCCCTCTGACCTTGAAAATATGACATACACGTCAGTATACACACACCACTTCAATTAGGCAACAAAGAAATTACTAGAATGTAGTAACCAGCCTTTAACCATAATTTAAACCAGTCTCAGATGAAAAAAAAAAAAAAATCAAGTAATTTCCCCAAACTATACCACAGAAAACAAAATCTAGTCACGATGACTACAGATACCAAAGACATTTGAAGAAACCTGTTTGGGAGAAAATCATCCCTGAAACAGGATGAAATTTCTACCTGATATTAACAAAAAGAAACTAGCTCAAGGGACTTGCCCAGCGGTCCAGTGGTTAAGGCTCTGCACTTCCACTGCAGGGGGCATGGGTTTGATCCCTGGTCAGGGAACTAGGGTCCTTCATGCCGCATGTTGCAGCCAAAAAAAACCAGAACAAAACAAAAAAGAAGGGAAATTTCTCATCATGGAAGTTGAAGCGCTAAGCAGTAAATTAAATAATTCTTTAAAAAAAAAGCTCAAGAACTATCTAATTAAAAAAGAAAATACTGGTTGAGGGCAGCAACACTTGCCGTTCAGGCTGTTATTGCCCTTGGGGGAATATGGACCTAGTACTGGCAGATTTTACGTTTTTAAAACAGTTTTATTAAGGTATAATTGACAGAATAATTTACCATATTTAAAGTTTAAAATGTCATGTTTGGGGATGTATATACATCCATGAACCCATTACCACAATTAAGATAGCAAGCATATCCACCCCGGGATTTTCCTCTTACCCCTCTGAAACCCCTTTTCTCTCTCCTCTCTTTGTCCCCATGTATCCGCTGGCCCGCTTTCTGTTTCTATAAATTGGTTTGCATTTTCTAGGGTTTTATATAAATTGAAAACATATATTTTGTTGTTGCCTGCATTGATGGTTCATATCTTTTTATTGTAGGGTAGTATTCCATTGTGTAGATATATAAGACATTTTGTTTATCCATTCACTGAATTATGGATATCAAGTGGGTTGTTTCTCTGTTTGGCTTGCTTCCGGACTTGGGCTATTACAAATAAAGCTGCTGTGAACATTGATGTGGAAGGGTTTGTATGGACATTTGCTTAAGTTCCCTTGGTTAAATACCTAGGAGTGGAATCACCAGATCTTATGGTAGATGTATGTTTAACTTTGCAAGAATCTGCTGGTCGTTTTTCCAAAGCACGTGTTATCGTTTTACATGCCCACCATCAGTGTATGAGAGTTCTAATTCCACCAGATTCTTACCACTGCCTCCTGGTATCTTTTCATTTGACTAGTTTTCTGAAGAGCATGTAATTTTGATAAGTTCAATTTACCAGTTTTTTCTTTCATGGATCTTTCTTTTGGTGTCATATCTAAGGAATCTTTGCCTAACCCAAGGTCACAAAGATTTACTCCTGTTTTCTTCTAAGAGTTTTACAGTTTTAACCCTTACGTTTAGGTCTATGATCGATTTGAAAGTAATTTTTGCATATGGTGTGAAGTATGGATTGACGTTTGTCTTTTTACATATGGATATCCAGTTGTTCTAGCATTTTTTGTTGAAAAGATTATTCTTTCTCCACAGCATTGCCTTTACACCTTTGCTAGAAATCAGTGGTCCACATTTGGGTGGACTTATTTCTGGACTTTTTAATAGTAAGTCTTAAGTCCAGTAGTATTAGTCTTCCAACTTTGTTCTTTTTAGAAGTTGTTTTGAATGTTCTAGGCCCATTGCAGTTTCATCTGAATTTTAGAATTAGCTGATCAGTTTCTACAAGAAAGACTTCTGGGATTCTAACTGGAATTGTGCTGAAACTATAGATCAGTTTCAGGAGAATTGGCATCTTAAAAATATTGAGTTTTCTCTACTAGAGCTAAGCAGTGAATTTGGTAGGGTTGCAGGATACAAAATTAATGCACAGAAATCTCTTGCATTCCTATACACTGACAATGAAAGATCAGAAACAGAAATTAAGGAAACAACCCTATTTACCTTCGCAACAAAAAGAGTAAAATGCCGAGGAATAAACCTACCTAGGGAGACAAAAGACCTGTATGCCGAAAACTATATAAGACACTGATGAATGAAATCAAGGATGACATAAACAGATGGAGAAATGTACCATGTTCTTGGATTGGAAGAGTCAACATTGTGAAAATGACTCTACTACCCAAAGCAATCTACAGATTCAGTGCAATCCCTATCAAATTACCAATGGCATTCTTCACAGAATTAGAACCAAAAATGTTATGCTTTGTATGGAAACACAAAAGACCCCGAATAGCCAGAGCAATCTTGAGAAAGAAAAACGGAGCTAAAACGTAGGAAAAACGCTCTTTGACATAAACCACAGCAAGATCTTCTCTGACCCACCTCCTAGAGTAATGAAAATAAAAGCAAAAATAAACAAATGGGATCTAATTAAACTTAAAAGCTTTTACACAGCAAAGGAAACCATAAACAAGACAAAAAGACAACCCTCAGAATGGGAGAAAATATTTGCAAACGAAGCAACAGACAAAGGATTAATCTCCAAAATACACAAACAGCTCATGGAGTGCAATATCAGAAAAACAACTGAATCAAAAAATGGGTGGGGCTTCCCTGGTGGCGCAGTGGTTGAGGGTCCGCCTGCCAATGCAGGGGACACGGGTTCGTACCCCGGTCCGGGAAGATCCCACATGCCGCGGAGCGGCTGGGCCCATGAGCCATGGCCGCTGAGCCTACGCGTCCGGAGCCTGTGCTCCGCAACGGGAGAGGCCACAACGGTGAGAGGCCCGCGTACAGCAAAAAAAAAAAAAAAAATGGGTGGAAGACGTAAACAGGTATTTTACCAAAGAAGACATACAGATGGCCAGGAGGCACATGAAAAGCTGCTCAACATCACTAATTATTAGAGAAATGCAAATCAAAACTACAACGAGGTATCACCTCACACTGGGCAGAATGGCCATCATCAAAAAATCTACAAACAAGAAATACTGGAGAAGGTGTGGAGAAAAGGGAACCCTCTTGAACTGTTGGTGGGAATGTGAATTGATATAGCCACTGTGGAGAACAGTATGGAAGTTCCTTAAAAAACTAAAAATTGGGACTCCCCTGGTAGCGCAGTGGTTAAGAATCGCCTGCCAATGCAGGGGGCACAGGTTCAATCCCTGGCCCGGGAAGATCCCACGTGCCACAGAGCAGCTAAGCCCGTACACCACAACTACTGAACCTGTGCTCTGGAGCCCGCGAGCCACAGCTACTGAAGCCCTTGTGCCTAGAGCCCGTGCTCTGCAACAAGAGAGGCCAGCTCAATGAGAAACCCATGCACCGCATGAAGAGTAGCCCCTGCTCACTACCACTAGAGAAAACCCATGTGCAGCAACGAAGACCCAGTGCAGCCAAAAATAAATAATCATATCTTTAAAAAATGTATGGATGTACTAATTAAAAAAAAACCAAACTAAAAATAGAACTACCGTATGACTCAGCAATCTCACTCCTGGGCATATAGCCTGAGAAAACCATAATTCAAAAAGATACATGTACCCCAGTGTTCATTGCAGCACTATTTACAATAGCCAGGACATGGAAACAACCTAAATGTCCAATGACAGATGAATGGATAAGGAAGATGTGGTACATATATGCAATGGAATATTAGCCATAAAAAGGAAGGAAATTGGGTCATTTGTAGAGATGTGGATGGACCTAGAGTCTGTCATACAGAGTGAAGTAAGCCAGAGAGAGAAAAACAAATATTGTATATTAACGCATATGTGTGGAATATAGAAAAATGGTAACAGATGAACCTGTTTTCAGGACAGGAATAGAGATGTAGAAATAGAAACCGATGTGTGGACACGGGGGAAGGGGAGGGTGGGATGAATTGGGAGATTAGGATAGACATATATACACTGCCATGCGTAAAATAGCTAGCTAGTGGGAACCTGCTGTATAGCACAGGGGGCTCAGCTCGGTGCTCGGTGACGAGCTACATGGGCAGGATGTGGGGTGGGGTGGAAGGGAGGTCCAGGAGGGAGGGGATATGTGTATACACATAGCTGATTCACTTCATTGTACAGCAGAAACTAACACAACATTGTAAAGCAATTATACTCCAATAAAAAAAATATTGAGGTTTATGACTCGTGAAACATGGTATATCTTTTTATTTACTTAAATTTTCTCTCAGCAGTAGTTTTCAGCATATCTTTTCCAAATGTATCTTTCACATCTTTTCACATCTTTTCACATCTTTTCCACATCTTTTCCAAATGCATCCTTAATTATTTTCACATCTTTTCCAAATGTATCCTTAATTATTTCATGTTTTTGATGCTATTATAAATTGTCTTATTATATTTTAATTTCAGATTGTTCATCACAGTTAATTAGAAATGCAATTGATTTTTTTTTTTTTTTTTCTTTTTTGCGGTACACGGGCCTCTCACTGTTGTGGCCTCTCCCGTTGCGGAGCACAGGCTCCGGACGTGCAGGCTCAGCGGCCATGGCTCACGGGCCCAGCTGCTCCGCGGCATGTGGGATCTTCCCGGACCGGGGTACAAACCCGTGTCCCCTGCATCGGCATGCGCCACCAGGGAAGCCTGCAATTGATTTTTTTATGTTGATCTTGTTTTGTTAAACTTCGCTTTTACCTCATTTATTTTAGGAGCTTTTTTTATAGTTGCCGAAAGATTTTCTTCCTAGAGGCCAAAAACGGTTTTAATTTTTCCTTTCTATTCTGATCCTTTTTATTCCTTTTTCCTTACTTGTTGCCCCAGCTAGAATCGCCAGTATAGTGTTGAGTAGAAGCGGTGAGAGCAGATATCCTTGTCTTGTTCCTTATCTTAGGGGAAGCCACTCAGTATTTCACTGTTAAGTGTGATGTTGGTTGTGAGCTTTCACACATGCCCTATATCATGCATGTTGAGGCAGTTCCTCTGTTTCGCATTTGTGGGAAGTTTTTATTAGGATTGGTTATTGGTTTTTGTCAAGTGCTTTTCCTGCAGCTATCACAATGATCATATGAGTTTTCTTTTTAGTTGTTTATTTGATGAATTCTATTGATTGACTTTCAAATGGTAAAGCAGCCGTACATTCCTGAGAGAAACCCCACTTGGTTATGATCTGTTATCCTTTTTATATATTATTTTGTTTAATTTGCTTACATTTTGTTTAGAAGTTTTGCATTTATGTTTGTGAAGGATATTTCTCTTTAGTTTTCTTTTGTAATGTCATTATCAGGTTTGGTGTCAGGATCATTTTGGCCTCATTGAATGAGTTGGGAAGTATTTCCTCATTTTCAGTTTTCTAGAAGAGTTTCTCTAATAATATTATTTCCTTTTAAAATGTTTGATAGAATTTTCCAGTTCTGTTCTTTTCTAAGGCAGAAGCGTTATTTATAGGAGGCTTTTGAACAGCACATTCAGATTCTCTAATACCAATGAAGCAGTTCAGGTTTTCTCTTTCTTCCTGGGTGGACTTTGATCATGGTTTTCAAGGAATTTATCTATTTTGTCTAAGTTCTTGAATATTTTGGCAAAAAGGTTGTAATATTACCCTATTATATTTTCAATATCTCTAGAATCTAGTAAGGTCATTTCTCTCATTCTTGATATTGGTAATTTGTGTCTTCTCTCTTTTTCCCTTATCAGTCTTGTTAGATTAAATATTTGGGATTAAATATTTTTAAACACTGTGAATGCTAAATAAAACCTTTCTTCAGGTTTGTATGTAGCTTATGGGCCACCCTTTGTCTGTCAAGCCTTAAAGGAAACAAGTGACCGAAAAATACTGAACCAGGTTCCCGTTCAAGCGTAGAGTCAATAGCTAGACAGTATCAAATATACAAAACCTCAGGGAATATAACATCTCTGAGCCTATTTTGAAAAAAAATTTAATGGTAAAGTTAAGCCATCTAAGAGAGAATTCAAAATGACTCAAGAAGCATCTTGGTGAAAGAAGTCAGAATAAAGATTAAATTCTTTAAATATGGAACGAATCCTTGACAACTATGAGAATTATAACTACAGAATAGTATTAAAATGTTATAAACTTGGGCAAAGTAAAAGTAATAATATAAGAAAGCAAGAGGAAGCAGGGACTAGTGAACTATGTGAATCCATATTAACAAAAATTAAATATTAATATAATACACTAAGCTTTTAAGATTTTCCCTGACCTTTTTTTTTTTTTTTTTTTTTGTGGTACGCGGGCCTCTCACTGTTGTGGCCTCTCCCTTTGCGGAGCACAGGCTCCGGCTGCGCAGGCTCAGCGGCCATGGCTCACGGGCCCAGCCGCTCCGCGGCATGTGGGATCTTCCTGGACTGGGGCACGAACCTGTGTCCCCTGCATTGGCAGGCGGACTCTCAACCACTGCGCCACCAGGGAAGCCCTTCCCTGACCTTTTTATTCTTCTCCTCCTTCTTCTTTTGTAAATGAATGGTAGCCTTTTTCTTTCCTTTAATTCAAGAGAAATCCATTTAGTATTTTCATTGTGGCATATATAGCATAATCACATTGTAATAGAATTATATCCATATTTGTAGCCTTTTCTATGTATGTATAGAGTTTCAGAATGAGTTTTCCCTGCTCATAATGGAGATTATTTCCTAGGGGTATGGCTGTGGCTAAATCTGTTTACTTTTTTTGTTATGCTTTTCGATATTGCTTGAATTACTTACAAGAAGCCTGCACGCTTTCACCAGTTGGTATATTCTCACTGTTCTTAAGATAAGTATCTTGCTGTCAGAATTTAGTGTTCTTAGATTATGTTACAGTTTTACATTTTGTTCTAATTATACTAAACCCTGTAGAATAATGTGGATAATATGACATATAAACACTTCATTTTCCCCTCATATTTGAATTTAATCTTTATATTTTTATTATGAAATTCAACTTGTTCATTCAGCCTTTTGAGTAATAATGTCCCATTTGAATCCTCTTTCCTGGAAAATTACTCTATCAGTCCGGGAAACAGGAAGCTCTTTTGATTTTTCAAATAAAAGCAATTTAATTGAGGCAGTTGGTTTCTAACACAGGTGTTAGAAAGGCTAAGAAAACAAAAGGGAGGGGGTTTGGAGAAGCAGCAGGAAGAATGGGTAATGCCTGAGGATCAGAAGCTTGTGTCACTCTGGGTTGGAGCCCACAAGCTGAGACCTGCTGCCGCACTGGTGAGCTGCTACCGTCGATTCTGGATCTCCAGGGCGGTGCTGCTTTAATCAGGGGTGGCATCATCTGCGGGGTTCTGTTTCTTTCTGTGCCCTGTCCCTGCTGCTGTTACAGCGGCTGCCAGCATCTGATGGTCACCTGCTTCTGACTTGCTCCGCTTTCTGATCTCCCACCAGAAAAAAGGCAGAACTGACAGAAAGCCAGCCTGCAGGGGAGCCTCCCAGATGCGGGGCGTAGCAGACAGAGCAGGACAGGACTGAGGCCTGGGCAGCTCGGTTAACGTGAAGTTAAATTCGTGTGTATAAGCAAGCCGTAGATGTCTGTAGTTGTGAAAGCTAGGCTTTCTGTTTATAGTCCTTAAGAACTTCAAAAACGTATCCAGAATACTTTTTAATCACCAGAATGATTAATAATCTTGTGAGCGATGTAGGAATGGCAGCATGACATGTTTATCTGGATACAGTCCTATCCCTAATGGATACACATTGGATAAATGCTTTTCCCCCTCATTATCAGCAATGGTTGGGAATACTAGCACTCTTGTCATCTCTCACGAAGACTGAGAGATGGAATTTTGAATATCAGGGGATTTAATACTTCCTTTACCAGCCCCCTCACACACACACCCCCTTGTTATCTCTGTTCCAAAATGTCCAGGGGATTACAGTCCTTGTTCTAATGTGGAAGTACAAAGCAGTGGTGAACCTAAATCTGTTACCTTGTTCACAATTGCAAGTGTAGCTCATCCTTCTTAGAGGAAATATGTTAAGAAACATCAACTTATCTAAACTTTAAAATCGTGACAATGTTTCTGACTTTCCATTAAAACTTGAACAGATGTGCCATTCTATTCACATTTATCTATACTTGTCCATAGAAGATGATCTTAAAATTGCTTATTAGCTTTGGAAACCTATATTTGTATGCTTTTATATATATTAAATTTCCATCTATGTAAATGGTTATATTTGATATTCTAAACATTTGTGTTCATTCATCAAATAATGTGATGTGGCAAGTAACAGATTCTCTGAGAACCAAGTTTTTATTTACAAATTTGCTCTCAACACATTGGAGTACCACAGAGGAAGCTCAGTTCCCAGGCATAAACGGTGTGCTTGGAAGACAAATCACCTTCAAGATAACCCCCTGTAATGCCCAACTCTTAACCATATTCTGACCTTCATTCCTTCTTATATAAAAATATCTGGAGTTGCCTGTATCTGGACGTGGAGGGATTTGAGGATGTGTCTGTGATCGTTATCAGTAGGTGAGGAGGAAAAGCTTGCTCAAGGAAAGAGCAGTTCTTCGAGATCTCCCCCAATGTGTCAGGCCCTTGTTGAAGGAGTAGTAAAGACACTAGCCAAACCGCAGACGTGGCAGGAGGGCAGGGCTTAGATGAGCTGGGACAGCGCAACCTGTTTCTGAGTCTAGAGGGAGTGCCTTTCCAGGGCATAGCAGAGGAGGAATTCCTCTCAGACAGAATTACTTCTTTCATGCTCACTCCCAAACAAAGGAGTATCTGAAAACAAAGTGTCTTTGGAACACATCCTTGTTCATTAATGGAAGAACTGTAATTAAGCTTCATCCATCCAGGTAGAAGTGGAATATAGTCCATTCTTTCCTTCTTACCCTCTGCTCCCTTTTCTCTGCTAGAAATATCTTGTCTCATGTAATTGTAGTATAGTCATGCTGTGTGTTGTCATTTTATCTTGTAGTTCTCTTTAAGGTTTTCTTATTGTACATATTTATCTATTTCAGTGGGAGAACTGAAGTCCAGTCAGTTCAATATGGCAAAGAAAAGGCAAATAAAGACAGGGTGTTTGCAAGGTAAGCCACTTCTAATTCAGTGTCTGAATTTTTTTTAAAGCAAGGTTAAAATTGCTAAAAACTCTTTTTCCAAATATGATTACAGAATTATCACATGATTCCTTCTTTAATTAAATGATAAATTATGTTGAGCGAATAATGAAATAGTTTGTCTAGTTTACTCAATCAGGTTTTTTTAGTGGACCAAGGATTGTAACCCTGACTAGGCAGAATCAAGTATTATATTATTAAGATAACATTTTGTTGGAAGGCTTGTTTCCCTTTTGTTAACATTTTTGAGAAACATAGTGACTCATCTCATATATTACCCAGCCCATTTCTTCTTTCTTTAAATCATATTGTTAAGAAATAAGTTGCTTTTTATTTGGGTGCTATTTTGTTATCTTCATTTTTTAAGATCTGTTAATAACCAGTTTGCTTTTCAACCAGTGAGATGACATGATCAGATTTATGGTTTAGAAAATAGTTTTATAAGCAAGTATAGAGAATGAATTAGAAGTAAGGCTGGGTACCCAGAGACCGGTTAGGTTATTGCAGTAATCCAAATGAAAATAACAAAGGTCTGAACTAAAACATTGACAGTGAAGTGGTTACTAGGGAACAAATTTGAGGAGCTTATTTTGCGAGTGGAACAGGCACAAGTTGTTGACCCGTTGGTGGAGGTGTGTGAGAGACAGGAGTGTCTGGAGAGACTTGTCAGCTTGGAGTGACATAAAATGGACAGGGGCTACAGGAGAGAACAGACTCGTAATAGAAGACGTTAAATTGGCACAGGTCTAGTTTGAGATGCCTGAGCAACGATCTAACCAGATTGTCCAATAGATGATTGAAAACTCAGCCAAGAGCTCTGACGAGGGAGAGTGACCAGATTGGTGGCAGCTGATCTTTACTGAAGACCTACTGTGCCGAGCATTGTTTCAGGCCTTGGGAACACAGTGAAGAACAAGTAACCCCTCTTAGTCTCATGGAGGCTGCACTCTGATTGGTGGAGCAGGCGCCTCATATAGTGAGCGCTGAGGCAGGGAAGGCCCTGGGCCGGAGCCAGTAGTGGGCAGGGTGCGCATGGCAGTGATCCAGGAGATGGCTAGACAGGCAGGCAGCGGCCGGAGTCTGTGTGGCCCTGTGCTGGGAACAGTGAGGACTTAGGATTGTAAATGGAGGCCAGGGGGACTGGGGGCATGGGAGGGATATAAACTGACTTGCATTTTTAAAGTGTGGTAGAGTTCTTGTGCTTTAGAGTGATAAACTGAAGTATCTACAAGTATCATACGGTTTCTGGGATTTGCTTCAGAATAATTGGGGGGCGAGGTGAAACAGGATTCTCATGATGATGCTGTTGAACCTGGGGCCTGAGTACACAGGGTTTATCAAACTCTTCTTTCTACTTCTGTTTATATTTGAAATGTTCCAAAATAAAAAGATGGGGGAGGGTGGGAGATTAGCCTGGCTGCTGGGATAGAATCACTCTGTGGGGATGTGAGTGGAAGAGGGTGACCAGTTAATCTCATAATGGCTAATGCTTATTTTGTACTTACCTGTGCCAGGCAGTTTTTGTATATTAACTCACAACCCCCAAACTCAGTGAGGTAATAAATCCATTACAGATGAGAAAACTGAGCGAGTTTGAATAATTTACCTGAGATTGTACGGAGAGTGAGGGATGCAGCAAGATTCTAACCAGGCATCCCAGGTTCTTACCCACACTTTTAACCTCTGTGCGGTAGTTTTTGCTGTTCTGCGTGAGAAGCTTGACTCCTTCCCTGTCTCACATGTGAAAGATGATCCCGTTTATTGTCTGTCTCCTTCACTAGGTAGGATGTCAGCTCTAGGAGGACGGGAGTTTGTCTGTCTTAATTCACCACAGTAGCCACAGTTCTCTAATGAGTGGGGTATGGTAGATGTTTTTTAAATGAAGCAGTGTATTTTCAGTGAAAATAGCTTAGAGAGGGTGAGTCCTTAAAGAGGTCATGAGCTTAGAGTCTGCTGCCAGTGGAGGCCTGAGAGTTTTAATAAACGAGAAGTGGAGAATTTTGCTTTTGACTTTAATTTTGCTCTTAGTCTTTGTCCGAAAGACCTCCTGCTTTGTGTTTCTAGGGTAAAAAGCTGCTGTTTATTTCATTCCTCCAAAAGCAGAAACTGCTTTATTGCTCCACAAGTGATGGCTCATTTTTTTTAAAGCTCCAACAATGCCAAATAACATAAAGAAAAATCGTAGGGCTTCCCTGGTGGCGCAGTGGTTGAGAGTCCGCCTGCCGATGCAGGGGACACGGGTTCGAGCCCTGGTCCGGGAAGATCCCACATGCTGCGGAGTGGCTGGGCTCGTGAGCCATGGCCGCGGAGCCTGTGCTCCGCAACGGGAGAGGCCACAACAGTGAGAGGCCCGTGTACCGCAAAAAAAAAAAGAAAAAAGAAAAATCGTTACCCCCAACACAATCATTTAAAATTGTTTTGTATTTACTATTCAAGATTTTGCCATGTATATACTCACAGAGATATTGATATGTATGTCTATATTTTATTTGTTTTAAACATTGTTTCATACTTTTTGTTGCTTGTTTTTATCACTTAGCATATCATAGGAATTTTCTTCGATGTTGAAAAATCTGCAGTCATTCATGTCAGTAAATCTTAAACACTTAAGTCCTTTTATCCTGAGCTGTAGATTTAATTGCAAGATCCTTCCCTTCGTCCTGCCACCGGTCCGCGTGCACAGTCAGAGTCATTTCTGGGGCTGAGGCTGTGCCAGCACTGTGCCTGGAAAGCTTGTAAAAATAAAAAACAAATAATATTACAAGTTCCTTGGAGTAAGGACATTTGAAACAAAAAAATCATTAGAACATGATTTTTTATGTGTTTGAATAATAAAATTTACTTGGGTTTTTTTTTTCCCCTTCATTCCTGGCTTACCCTCATCCTGATTTGTCTATGAATGATCTCTCCAATCAGAAAATTGTCAATGAAAAATGCCTTGATGTAGGAAAGATTTCACTGGTCAGGGCATATAGCATTTTGCTGTGATAAGTTTAACTTGAATTTGAATGATGTAATTCATTTCAGCATTTGTTCAAAAAAGTTTTGAAATTGATTTATTTTTAGATTTATTGAGGGAAATATTGTCAGTTTCTCTATTAAATATAAATCTTGGTGTCATATTAGTGGCTTGGTTATTTCAGAAGGGAGAAAGAAAGAAAGTAAAAACACAGAGATGTCTGCCCCAATAGATACAGCTACTGAAATTACTCAAATTCCTCCTTTCCACAGTCATACTTTTTTTTTTTTTTTTTTTTTTTTTTTGCTGTACGCGGGCCTCTCACCGCTGTGGCCTCTCCCGTTGCGGAGCACAGGCTCCGGACGCGCAGGCTCAGCGGCCATGGCTCACGGGCCCAGCCGCTCCACGGCATGTGGGATCTTCCCAGACCGGGGCACGAACCCGTGTCCCCTGCATCGGCAGGCGGACTCCCAACCACTGCGCACCAGGGAAGCCCTCATAGATACTCTTGTTTCCAGTTTGAAAGTATTAAGGACCTGTACAAAGGTAAAATGTACAGTAAAATGTTAATTTGAAACCATTTTCCTTGAAATTGCTCTTGAGAAAGGAATAGTTTACTTCCTATCAACTTTGTTTTAACTTAAAATGTACATATTTATTCTAGTTCTTAGTACTATAACTTTTTTGCAACACTCCTTTCAGACTTGTTAAAATCAAAGTAAATATTTTTCTGATTCTTCTGTTAAAATAGCACCATAACAAAATACTTGCACTTTTTTATTCTTTTCCTAACAAGAAGCTTAACTTTTTGTCTTGCTTGATATTTGTAAAAATACTGAACATGATTTCATAACTAGTTCTACTGTAACATGATATCCTAATATGAATACCAAGTCATAGGTGTGTTTATATATTAATGTTAATATCACATGCAAATGACTTCCTTTATTTATATGTGTAAATGCTTTAATATTTTGAGCATATCAGATTTTGAAAGATATACAGATAGTTACACCTGCATCTTACTAGTTCATTTTTTTTTCCAGAGCAGTTCCCAATGCATTTTATTTTATTTTATTATTTATTTATGTTTTAAATTTAATATTTAAAAAAATTTTTTTTAAATTTTATTTTATATTGGAGTATAGTTGATTAACAGTGTTGCGTTAGTTTCAGGTGTACAGCAAAGTGATTCAGTTACACATATACAAGTATCTTCATTTTCAAATTCTTTTTCCATTTCTGTTATTACAGAATATTGAACAGAACTCCCTGTGCTATGCAGTAGGCCCTTGTTGGTTACCTATCTATCTATCTATATATCTATTTATTTATTTGGCTGCACCGGGTCTTAGTTGTGGCATGTGAACTCTTAGTTGCGGTATATGGGAGCTAGTTCCCTGACTAGGGATTGAACCCAGGCCCCCTGCATTGGGAGCGTGGAGTCTTAGCCACTGGACCACCAGGGAAGTCCCTGGTTATCTATTTAAAATATAGCAGTGTGTACATGGGAATCCCAAGCCCCAGTCTATCTCTCCTCCCCCACTTTTCTCTGCCTGGTAACCATAAGCTCATTTTCTAAGTCTGTGAGTTTGTTTCTGTTTTGTAAATAAGTTTATTTATATCATTTTTTTTAAGATTCCACATATAAGTGGTATCATATGATATTTGTCTTTCTCTGTCTGACTTACTTCACTTAGTATGATAGTCACCAGTCAGATAGTTCTTCATTTTATATATGCATTATTAAAATGTGAAATTGTTTAACAGGTTATCTTATAAAACAAATATGCATTATTCAGTGAGTAGTAGAGATAAAATTCCAATATGATGGGCCCCAAATAACTTCCTGTTTCTTTTGTTGTGCTGGAATTGTATGAATCTACTTTGAAATAATAAGTCATCATCTAGGACAAGTACTGTTTTAATGATCCCATTAGCTCTGAAAGACTAAGCTTTTCTGGGATTGTGATGATCTGATGCATATCTATCAAAATACCCTAATGGTTTTAGCAATTATTAAATTATTCTGTTAGAGTATTAGAGAATTCTAGAATTCTTGTCCACTCCTTGGAATTTTAGTTGGCAGTATAAATAGTTAGAAAAGATTTCTCCTTAAACTTTTTATGTAAGGTTGTTTTTTTCAGCAATAATAAATGTTAACTTATTTTTCTGATACATCAACTCTTTGAATTGCTTTCAAACTTTTTCAGTTATCATATAATATCTAAGAAGAAAGCAAAAGAATGTTCCCATGCAACAGAAAAATAAGGTGCCATGGTCAGAAAATAAATTTACCACATTGCAAACACTGATGAAGTGTGGTATTTTTTTCTCTGAAGTTTCCACACTCAACAGGAAACATAGACAGCAAGCTTGAGTGGGTGGGTCTCTGAGGTTAAAACTGTTAATAAAATACCTTGAAATTTAGTTTTAAATGCAAAGCATTTCCAACCATGTTTAGTTTATTAACAACAGTAAAGTGTTCTGATGCTTTGTATTAGGTGAGTATAACTGGATTTTTTTCCTCCTTCAAATGACTCTTTCCCTCTTTTAGAAAATGAAAATAGTTGATCTCCTGACTGTGGCTAGTGAACTCACTTAAACAGTTTACATTTAATAATCCAATATGTGAGTAATCTGTTTACTAACATTAATAGAAGAGCCATAAATGCTGTTTATTTTAATAATCTTTACTTCATTTAAAAAATCTAATGCATGAGATAATATACTTTATTTTTATTTTATTGTGACTGATGAGGTGGTTAGACTAAATGGTATCCTGACTTGTCTTCAAATCAGAAAATCCTGTAATTTAAACTCATGGTAATGGGAAATGTTTATGTTTTAATGACTTCAGATTCACTTATGAAAAATGAAATCTGACTCAATGACTTTTTAAAAAAATTGATAACATTACATCTCTTTTAGAAAATGTTCAATGTTCTTAAATTAAGGAGATGTCAGTCAACTATATTTCAATTTAAAAATAAATAAAAGAAAAAAAAGCAACATCATTAGGCCAAACTAAAAAGATTTTAGCTATGAATACATGAAATGATAGGGCATTTGTGTGCTTTAGATTCAGAAGTAATTTAAGTTCCTTGTGGTTTAGTAAAATGAATAAACTAAAACATTCCACTGAAAACGTAGATACTCATAGATCATTTCAGAAGGTAGGGGAGGACCGTAGGAGCATACATTTTACTAGGAAATTTTGATATTCAGGTGTAGAAGCTTAAGTGGTTTGTCTGTGGGAAGGTCAAAGCTAGGATTGATGGTCCCCACTCATTGTTTTTTTTTTTTTAAATAAATTCATTTATTTATTTTTGGCTGCGTTGGGTCTCTGTTGCTGTGCACAGGCTCTCTCTAGTTGCGGTGTGCGGGCTTCTCATTGCAGCGGCTTCTCTTGTTGCGGAGCACAGGCTCTAGGCGCACAGGCTTCAGCAGTTGTGGCACACAGGCTCAGTAGTTGTGGCTCGTGGACTCTAGAGCACAGGCTCGGTACTTGTGGTGCACGGGCTTAGTTGCTCCGTGGCATGTGGGATCTTCCCTGACCAGGGCTCAAACCCGTGTCCCCTGCATTGGCAGATGGATTCTTAACCACTGCACCACCAGGGAAGCCCCCCACTCATTGTTTTAATGCTTCCTACTATGTATGTAAATTTTCTTGAGTACTCGTGGTCAGTGTTACCATGCTTTGTAGTTTAGTCTGTTTGTATGTGCTTCAGTGAGTTATTACTGAAATATAAAACTGTCTAAGTTTAGAAGCTGATATATTATGTGTTTTTATGTAATTTGCTTAATTCATTGTATTAACCTTCATATGAACTCTGCATGTCAAAAAGCTAGGCATTTAAATAGATATCATGTATTTTCCATGAACTTTGGCCACTTTTTGAATTTGCATAAAAAATGACTTCAGTTGCTAATTCACCTAAAATTCTAAGGGTTTTTGACCTCAGTAAGGATCAATATCTTTTCTGAAAAGATCATTTACTTTCTTTATCACTATAATAACTGACAATATACAGGTTAGAAAACATACGCTACTCCCCACCGTGAGACAAAATAATTAACCTTCCAAATGTTTCCTAAAGAAGAAAAGAAAAGAAAAAAACCCACTGACCTACTGTATATAAAAGGGGAAAATTTATAAATAAAATATACACAATTATCATTTTTATCTTGTCCTCATTGAGGCAGAGGGCCAGGGTTTAGGTTTAAGGACACTCAGGAGATGATGTGTTAGGAATTGTTTAAAACACCACAAGATAAGCTCAAGTCCCAGAGACGCTGGGACAGAGACAGACAATGTCTAAAATATAATGTTGGCAGTATCTGGGAAAACTTGATAGCCAACGATTCCATTGTTTTTTTTCTTTCGTCTTTCTTTCTTTGTTTCTTTCGTTTTTCTCCTCTTCCCTATTCTCTTTCCTACTTTTTCTTGCCTTCTTTCTTCATATAAAGCAGATTTCCTTTCTTAGGAAATTGTTTGGTAAGTAGCCTCCAAATGCATTAATTTCTTGTAAATAAACGTGTTGTGTTTACTCATCTAGAATATGATGTATTAAGACAAACTGTAAGGTTTGGTACATAGTTTGGGGTAAAAAATAAAATTTTTTGCATATTATTTAAATTATTACTCCAGATCCCCAAGTAAGCCCTTGGCACGGAAATTAATGGATTGGGAAGTAGTAAGCAGGAATTCACTATCTGATGACAGGTTGGAAACACAAAGCCTTCCATCGCGATCCCCACCTGGCACTCCAAATCAGTAAGTACATCAGGTGTACGTTTTGCTAATTTCTAAATGTTTGGCTGTATGTTTCCATTGCCTGAAGATTATAATATGTAAAATTAAAATTTTTCAGTTAGACATGATTTTCGTTGCTCCAAGGCATTATTTCCTCTCAGCCTGGAGCTCAGTGTGTAAGCAGAGCATGACATAAAGATGCTCACTTAACTACAAAGCTGACTTCCACAGTCAGGGTCACTAGCCAATATATCAAGGCCTATTAGTAGACTTAAAATCTGGGAATATGGTTGTAGCTGACATAAGTCTTTTCCATATGTATCTCCAGCATAATTTCGAGGAGAGTGCATATTATTTGAACATGCTAAGTGTTGTGATTCTCTTGCTGAAGCTTCTACCCTGCTTCTGCTGTGCCAGTGTCTGTGGTCTAGGAAAAGGGATTTCCAGCCTCAGTTCCCACCAGCTCAGCCATAGCTCAGCTGAGAAGCACATGTTACTCAGCACTTACTGTGTATGCACTTCATCCTAGCATTTCTCACAAAAGCTGGATGCTTGGGTGTAGGTAGTAATAATAAGATAATAAACGTGTACTGGCCAAAGATGTTATCTTAATTTCATAATGTTAACAAGTGTGTTGTATGTATTATATGTATGTGATTAAGATAATGATAACAAAATGAATGTCACCATACTGACCGTCCTTGTTAACCCAAAAGGTTGATATAAGAAATATTTGAATTTTGGCATGGAATATAATATTTAAAGAAGTCTTCCTCTGGACATATTTCATACACATTCATGTTCAATAAATGTGCACTAAATTCTACAAGTTGTTTCACTGATGGGTGTTTGTCAGCTTAAGAGTAAATTCCTACCATATTGGAAGTAAAGTGTGTGCACAAACAGCTTGGTTCACAGCAGGTTACCTAATAGCTAGGTGTCTTCGTCACTACTTAGAAACAAAATAGACTCAAAAGTTTGTGCAGTGTCTTGCTAATTGCAGAGTGCTAAGCCATCTTTTTTATAATAGACTGCATATAAATTCAAAGGCTAATCAGCTTGTTGGAGAAGATCCAGAACCTTCTTTCTCTGGTCCCTTTTCCAGCCAGCCGTTCCTTATTTGTTACCAGTACCCCACTAAACAATTACAGCAAATTATGGAAGACACATCAAATTTAAACCAGATGGTTGAATTAATTAATTGTCACTAACTCTGATCAGACTTTCTGTTAATGAAACAATTTTATGTATGATATGAAGAAAATTGTTCTTTCCCTAAATCCTAAAGTGACTCTGTCACTTATGAAGATGGAAATATGGTATTCAGTATCTCTAGTCTTAGAAATTATAGAAAATCACATAAATAAAAGTATTTATTAAAGGGTTAAAAAAGAATTCAGACCAGAGGATATTTCTGAATTATTGGGTTCTCTCCTTTTATTTTGTAAATGCTGATTAAGACGCACATTTGTAGTGACTGAAACCTAGAAACATTAAGGTTGGTGGGGATAATAGATGATTGAAATAGATAAAATCCCCGTGGCAGATTGCTAACTCTAGCTCAGACCTTTTGACTTCCTATTCTGTGTTTTTTCTGTTTATACCATAGTGTCTTTGTCAGAGACTCAGCTTAGTAAAATGTGGTCAGTCTTAAAAACACACACCCACTTTCTACTGCAATCATATAAGGAAGAAACTTGAACATACTGAGTTACAGTACATTTTTACTCAGTTTTTGTTCCTCTTCTCGTAGTCGAAATTCTGCATTCACCCAAGAGGGAACCAGGTTACGGCCGTCTTCAGTGGGCCATTTGGTCGGCCACGTGGTTCACACCTGCCCCGGCGAGGCGTTCGTGAGGCATCGGTCTCCATCTTCCACGCAAGCTAACAGCATTGTTTTGGAATCATCTCCGTAAGGCCTTTTTGCATTTAGCTTCCTTTTTATGAGGAATAATGCCCCAAATTGTTTCATTTGAAATAATCTGGGAAATTATAGTGTTTGATACAAGACTTTATGTGATGTTTTAAAAATTTATATATTTGTAAATGTGCTTATTTGTTCCTGAAGGTCTTGGTGACCCCCACCCCACAAAATCGCTGCTATTATTTTGTTGGCTCTGTATATTCTTGAACTTTTAGTGCACATTGTTACATATTTCTGTAGATAAATGCATCACTGTGGTCAGGCAGTAAGGTGATGAAAGGTAGAGTTTTCTTAATATTTTTCAGGAAGGGAACCATAAGGATGAATAGACAGTGTTGGGGAGATGAAGTAGCAAGGGAGAACATCACATTGAAAATAAGTTACAGAACGTGTGCATACCTCATTCTAAAATTCACTCCTATCTCATTACAAGTTGATGCATAAATTAAACTTCATAATTCAGTATATCAGTTTAATGCACAACATACTTACCTCACATTAATAGGCAGTCTTGATTTATTGGTTCATACAATACAGTTAGTTCATACGCAAGTAAAAATACAGTGCAAGAGTTAGAAAAAAAGTAAAATACTTTATAAGATACATAGGTAGGTAAGAGGATTCATTAATTGCTGAGGAGGAAAAAGGGGTTTCAGATACAGTGAACGTGATGAGGGTTGAAGAAAGGGTGGGTCTGAGTGATGGAGAGCAGGTGGAGTGGCCAGCACAGCAGCTGTAGGTGCTCCAGGAAAGCGCGCCTGGTCTGTAGGAGCGACTGCTGTCCTCTGTGGGCGCCAGCAGGGAAGGCGGCCAAGCTGTCGGTACCAGTGGGCGTTTAGTCTGGCTAACGTGTATCTGGGTGAAAGATTTGGATTGTGTGTGGACATTTTAAAGGTTGGAGGAATAGAAAACTATACACTGCACAGTGACACCTGTGGAGCATGGGTGGACAGGAGTTAGGATTGGTGGAAATTTAATGTTATATTACTTTAAAAATTATAACTCTAAACTTTTTGATTTTTAATAAGCATGTATTTTCTACTTCTAAAACTTTAAAAAGTACAGTAATTAAAGACGTGATTGAAATGTTAACTGATTAAATTTTCAAATGACATGCTTTCGGCACATGAAAGCCGACCACTTGGAGGAATCACAAAGTCCGTGTCATCACAGACAGAACGGTGTCACTCCTGGGGCCTGACCACATGATCTCAGTCTAGTTTTTGTAGAGCCCTTTCCGTAGAGCCCATACACATCTGCCTATGCATACAATTGAGTATTTCCTTTCCTAAATTTTATAGATTCACAAACCCCCCAAATCACTTACCTCTTCAGAATACCTTTGTTCTCTTTTCCTGACCTGAAGTGGAGGAGGAGGTTCAGGATAGGTTGGAACCATGCAGAGTTTTTCTTCGCCTGCCCAGTCCAGCAGAATTTCAAATGCTTGGGGCTTTCTCTTTGGACATCTGTTTTATGAAGCTTAAGTATTTGTATTCAGTTTTGAATCTATAACACTGCGTTGGAAATTCAGCCAATCCTCACCTTAAGAATAATGAGAGAGCTCTGAAAAGACAAGCTTAATGGTAAACTAATAAAAATAACTTACATTGGTAGCTTACAGTCAGCTTTTTCATAAATTATCTCATTGTTGTATTCAAGAGAACTCAATAAAATAGGAAAGCTATATAGCCCCCCTTTACAGATGAGAGAGCCACACTAACAGCATTTGTCCCAATTTATAGAGCTAAAACTCGGGTTTTCTTACCTGAGCCACTCTGTAGAACTGTGTATCCTGGACAAGGCTTTGTTGATTTTTTTTTTCAATTTAGAGGAAATATTTTTCAACTTGGAATCCATAGATTTTAGTTTTACATTGGCCAAATGTGAAAAGAATGCAAACAATATGTTGGATTAAGCACAGAGCATTTCAACGTAGCACAATACATTGAAATTGATGTTGCGATATCTCACCAGTTTCCTGCTCTTTGAGGGAGTCCAGGGGCATTCAGGTGAGCCTGACTTCAGGCACTGGGTGAGCTTGCCCACTTCCCAAGGAGAAAACGCTATTAATTCGCAGGTGTGTTTACTGTGGAAGCAAACAGGAGGCTGTTGTACTGCTTAAAATTACTGTTTGTAGGCAGGGATGATTGAGATTACATCCTACCATTTCCTTCCTTTCTTTAAATGATCCACAGAAAATTAGACTGTTTTTAGTTTGTGATTTTTCTGAGATAAACATCAGCCCTAAATTAATTTTAAAATACTTAACAGATTAAAAAATAAATAAATTCCCACCACAATGCTAAGACGTAACAGGGAAGCTCAGGTATTTCTACAAAATAATTGCAAAGTGTGTGAGTGGGATGGATACGGTTTTATTTTTTATTATGATACAGATTGCTAACAGCTGCAACAGAGAACTGTTTTGAGTGCAGAGGAAGCTGCCTCACTGCTGACCTTGAAGCACTCATGAGGAAACTTACAGCCACCTGGACTGAAACAAGTCAGGAAAGCTTTGGCCCACCTGGCTTGATTGACAGTTTTAACAACCATTTATCTGTTGTATGTTTGAAGTGTGGATATCTGGTTGAACACAGAGAGGAATTCCCCATGTTCTCAACTTCATCCTTCAGTTCCTAATCACCAGAGACTATGCAGATTTCATAATCCTCAAATGTTAAATCCAGTTCCCTGAGCTATTCTTTCCTAGACTGTCCCGTTCCAGTCTTATCTTTATCCAACCTAATCAATTCCTTTTGCTTCGTCCTGAAAGCTTTGCCTTCCCTCTGCCCCTCTGAGCTACTGGCACTGATAACTTCACCTGCAGGCTCAGCGTAACCCAACTCCCATGCCAGCCTTGATCAGGTCTAGTGATATATCATGGACCAGGCAAATACTAGGCTGCTGTAGGACAAGGAAATAAGAGAAGCAAAGGGGGTGGAGTGGAAGGAGTGTTGAGCCATGGGGCCTCAGAGGGCGCACCCTGTTAGATGCTGTACCTGTGGCGGCAGGACTAAGCACGGATCCCTGGGCTGCTGCTCTGCAGCGTACTTACCTGCAGTCCACCTCTGGCAAAAGCCTCCCTTACTTGCAGTTGGGAGCTGAGGTCAGAGACTTGGACTTTGGCTGAAACCAGGAATTTCAGGTCTGGGACCTTGCTTCTGGAGTAGATTCCTACTGATAGAATAATATGACATTTTCAGTTCTATTCTATTAATCACATCCCCGGGAGTTTCTATGCACTTTAATTGCCTTGAGCATCAATTAGTAATCAGTCTGAAATGGTGTTTACTTTGAAATACTCTGAATGTCACTATAAATTAGCCAAAGTATCAAGAAGCCTGAATTTTGAACCAGAATTTTATCTGTATCTTACGGAACATAAGTATGGCAGGGGTAAATGCCCAGTGAAGACTTGGATGACGCTAGTGATCGTAATTGAGTGAGACAAGAGCTGCTGGTATGTATTTTAGAAAATAAGGTTTTAAAAGGAGCCATCATTCCTGGCAAGTTTGTATTAGTGTCTACCAAGAATATGGTTTTTGTTTTCTAGTCTTAAATTAGAATAAACTTTATGCTTGTATGAAGGGTGTATTTGTACAGTTAAACCTTTGGCAGCATTTTTTTTTAATTTACAGTTTTAAGAGTTTATCCTGCTCATTTTTCTTTTTTATGAGTAATTACAATAATCTCTTTGGAACTATATTTTCTACACTCTCCCTATGACAGATTTTTTCCAGCTCCCATATTTAACGCCAAATGACTACCTCTACTTGTAAGACTCCAGGCACAGCCTTGATCCCTACTTCTTTCTTTGGTTCCTATTTCCCTAGTCCTGTCTAAACCATCTGATAGTAGATGCTCGTCTTCTTTTAGGTTATAGGTCCCTTCTCTCAGGTGCCAGCTGTTATTTCTAGTGGGGCTGTGTCCCACTATGCTGCCTGGTTGTTCTTTCCAAGTATGTGATGTCTTTTCATTCTGTTTTCCTTGGTAGTTTTTGTTTATTTGTTTGTTTATGTTTTAGCCTAGAAATAGTACCTTTTTATTTTATTTTTTTAATTAAAAAAATTTTTTTGGCTGCAGATGAGTTGGGAGATTGGGATTGACATATACACAATAATATGTATAAAATAGATAACTAATAAGAACCTGCTGTATAAATAAATAAATAAAATTTAAAAATAAATAATTTTTTGGCCGCTCCATGCAGCTTGTGGGTAGGGTCCTGGTTCCCCTGGATCCCCGACCAGGGATCGAACCCAGGCCCCGGCAGTGAAAACGCCAGGTCCTAACCAGTGGACTGCCAGGGAATTCCCAGTGGTACCTTTTTAAAGAACTGGCCTATTGCATGATATTATTTTAAATGTATTATAATTTCAAATTACAACACATGGTTTACCTATGAAAGTCATCTTCCTAGATAATTGTTTAGTAGATTGACTTCGTATGATACTTATACATTAAATATGAACAGGGAAGTTATTTGTTACGATAAATTGAGTTAATATGAGTATGTCTTTAAAATGTAATTGATACCTTTTGCCCAAAATAAGAATTTTAGAAGTCTGTGTTGATATTCTTGATTACTTTTATAGACAGTAGTTAGATAGGTAGATAGACAGATAGACAGAAAGAGAGTGTGTTTGGTTATTGAAGCTGGAAACACAGGAAGGGGAAATTGTTACCAGGATTACTGGGAGAGTGCATAATTAGTTTGTGAAAAAGCTCCCCAGACCAACCTTAACCTCTGCAGTGACCAGGCCCATGGAGAGCTTGTCCATCACTCTCTGTGAAGTTACCTTAACAAGAAAGTTACATAAAACAATGAGAGAAGGCAGGTAGCACCTGTCCTGAAATCCAAAATTATATCACCCTTTCCTCTCTTAGATCTTGGCTGACCCTCTGCCTGTACTCCATTCTCCTCACCCTTTCTTTAGAGCTTGGCTCAAATCCCAGCCCGAGCCTCTACGCTTGGACTCTCTTCCTAT